ATTTTTCTGTATAAGTATGTATTTGCAAATTAAATATACTACCTATATTTCAAGATCTCCTTGTTATGAATCTAGATGATGCGTAAAACATGAATTGCACTTGTTTTTTTTTTAATTGATTATTCATTTTGTTTTTAATTAACAAAAACACCTATTTACGTCACGGGTATTAACTGAGGTGCGATCTACGTAAGTGAATGGTGAAATACAGGCCTAAACAGAGGTATTCACCGCAATTTTATAGTTTAACAGCGGAATGACTAATAATGTTTTTAACTTTTACTCACCGAGAACATATGCGTCCAACTGCTCATTAAAGCACCCGATTTTAAATCAATCGTTGTAGGTTTTTTTAATAATTTATAGATCATGTTACTGGCTGATAAGTAGTTATGAAAAAGAAATGTTCATTGTTCAAATAAACTTTAATATAAGCACATTTAAATAGTCTCATTCACACTCATTGTAAGAGTTTTTATTGGTGACTATTTTTTGTTTTATTTGTTTCCATATATAAACACATACACGTAATTTTGTTTACAATTTTTTTAAATACCATCTGAATATATACGAAGAGTTATAAATCAGAAATATATGTATGTAATTGTAAGTTTTGTGCGGAGATTAAACTTGCGACCATCGAAAAATGTGACAGTATCTATTTTAAACTGATCTGAAGAATAATATCGTGGATAAATAGTAGAGCCTACGACTTGTGGCCGTGGTAATCAGGATAACAATGGTATTTAATTTTTTACACCGATGGGAATAACATAAAAAATTAAGCGAAGATTACTGCAATACGTTAGTGAACCCCGAAACGAATTAGTTAATCTATTTATGAGATCAGTGTTTCACACAATAGAAAAAATTACAGAAAAATTCTTACAATATTTTTTTGGGTTCTATTACAATCTTATTGTTAAATATCTTCAATGTACCAGACATATATAAATTACATTTCCATTATATGAATACATATTGTTAAATACTTGGAACTGAAGTCAAATACGTAACACAACGAAGTGCCTACTCAAAAAGGAAGTAACACGCAATACGTCACAACAAGAATAACAGGTATTCATTTCACAATTGAAAACCCACAGGTTTTCTCGTGAATACACATACAAAGATGACACCGACTTTCCTCAGTCAGTTACAATTACGTAGTTATATGTTGTTGATAATGATATTTCCTGCATATTACTATATTACTTCCTTATAATCTTAAAAAAAAATGGTGGACTGTCCCCTTTATTTTTATTCGTTTCAGACTACTTGCCTTATATTACCTTATAGACTAACATACATATGAAATAATATTATAAAATTACTAGCTGTCCCGGCAAACGTTGTTTTGCCTTAAAATAAAAATAAAAAATTTAGGGGTGGACCCTAACATTTAGGGGGATGAAAAATAGATGTTAGCCGATTATCAGAACTACTCAATACGCTCACAAAATTTCATGAGAATCGGTCAAGCCATTTCGGAGGAGCATGGGAACGAAAACTGTGACACGAGAATTTTATATATATATGAAGATATTGAAATTGTATGTGTGGTCACGGCAGTGACGACGGCAATCTGCCATGGTAGCGCCGATACACCACACCCTACGGCCAGTAGTCTTCCTTCGTGAAAGTGAGCAGCATGTTGGGGACCCGGGACACAAAAGTCTTGAAACTCGCGTTGTGACTCGACTTCACCGGCGTCACCCACAATGTCAGGTTACTTTTAGTCCAAATGTAGTCGATAATGACGACTCTTTGTGGGAGGTAGAAGGTAGAATCTGGCAATTCTCAATGTCTAAAAACCCCAAGGTGTTCCTTCTCTTAACCTTTTGTCAGAGTTATGGGAATGGCGTCGGTCAGACTCCTCTCATTATTGTATTGTCTTGTACGTTAATTGTAAAGATAAAAGTAGTAAAAGCTTTCAAGAATGTCTTATCGTTTCGGCATAAGTCCTGATAAGGTGGTTTTTAGTGATGGCGTAACAATTCCCCCTTACTTAAAATTCAACTTTAATTGTTATTGTTACAAAAATTATTACTAGGTAAAATATTAAAATTGATAATTTCTTGCGAGTCTAAATGACGGTGAACCTGAGTACTGTATTGTTATAGTACTTAAAAAGAAATGTTTAATTGTCACTACACCATATCACCCAATGTAATAGTATTTCATGTAATCTGTTTATAACGTGTTAATTAAGAGAAATTTAAAATGTATCTGATTATTTGGTGAAAATAAAATAATGTCTACATGATTTTTGAGTTTATTTTCTTACCTTCTATATCTGTCATTTTGTCTATTTACATTCGAATCAAGAAACAGGTATGCTGTGTATCTAGAATATGATGTGAAATCTAAATTTTATTAAGAATTATATAGTTGTTTTAATATGATTGAGTAACTATACTGAGGTTTTTTTAATGGATTGTCATTTCAGTTATATAAAAAATATGTCCCTGGATAAGTCACACAGCGTCATCTAGTTCCAAGCTAAGTAGAGCTTGTGTTATGGGTATTAGACAATTGATATAAATATATATATATATTTTTTATAAAACACATAATATACAAAAAAAAAACACCCTAACAATCATACTCATGTACGTACTGCAGGACAAATCGAACCCATGACCATCGGAAGTTATGAGGTGTGCTAAACCGCTTGACTACTGAGCCCATTAATTATTCCTAACTGTTTTTAAATTATGATGGAATGGTAAATGGTCTGCATAAGGTATATGATATCGGAGTACTAATAGAAAAGGATGGCATTTGAGAGTACAGTTAGTCACGACTTTTAACCTATGGTGACAAAACACCAAATATACCGCCATGAAACTGCTTTGAGGTCGACCTGACATAGAACATTGATAGTAATTTCGTATTAGTAATTAGTCCGTTAGTTGCTACTCATTTGGTACAAGTGCCATATTAGATCACCTATTGTATATACAATACCATTTTTGGTGTGACAATATTGTTGTAATTAATCATAGATACATGTTACTACTCTATATGGACCAAATTTTCTGTTTCGGTCAATTTCGCCGCAACAAACAATTTCTAATTTAGTAAATTGCTATAAAGTTGTGTTTTTGAATAATTAATCTAAGAATTTATATGTTACAATACTATATGGACCAAATGTCCTGTTTTTGTCAATTTTGCCGCAAAAACTAATGAGATGTTCTCTGAGATATTAATAAAACTATTTTATGTTTCATAAGCTAGTGTTTTTGAATATTTAATTAAAGACATCGTATATTACAATTCTATTTGGACCAAATGTCTTGTTTCGGTCAATTATGACGCAAAAAATTTTAGTAAATCGTCATAAGCTAGTGTTTTTTAATAATTAATCATAGACATCGTACGTTACAATTCTATACATATAATATCCTATATTATATGTATAGAATACTACCTAATTAAACATGTACAACATTTCTTTTAAAAGAATACGAGCTAAGTTTTTTGTCAGTTTTTCTCATCTCGAAATCGTTCCGAACTGACGGGAGATTCGACATATCATAAGAGTATTTACCTCTCTCGACGTTTCGACTAGGTTGCACTAGCCGTGGTCACGAGAGGTAAATACCTTTATTTGCCATAAAATTATTCGTGTTAAGACCCGGCTAATAATTTAAATAATGTATATTAAACACGAAAGTTTAACAGTAACTATATCATAAGAGTCTGTAATATAGCTACATGAATAAAGAATAGAAATTGCCTTTAGGTGTTAAGTCCGCCATGTGCACCTTTATTTGTGTATCTGTGCATTAGTTTTAATAAATAAATAAAGATATTTTTAAAATACTATCAATTTTTGAATTATATATGTTTAAAATTTCTTGGTACGGTCAATTTTGCCGCAAAAAATAGTTTTTATTTTGGCAAATTGCCCTAAGGCAGTGTTTTGTAAGTTGAACAGTTCTGGTGATGACCTACGATGTTATGGTAACTGGGATTGTTAGTAATATAGACTGATGACCTCTTTAGCAATACCATGACAGATTGACCTGCAAATGCTTCTCCATGGAAACCATCGTGATAATAAATTCGTTGGCTCCTGGTATATTTGTCATGTGGGTTAACTGATCTGACTTCATGCTTATCCTATCGTCCTCTACTGATACCCGCTAGCGTAAATCATTACCGCAGGCGGGTGAACTATTCCATTATACCCTATTAAAAAATATCCCATACAATTTTGTATATGTCAATGATTTTAAACGTAACTAAAGTGGGATTTCTGTACAATTATTCAATAAAAAACAGGCATGAATAAAGTTTATATTATTAATATTTTATACTACGATAGTGGCAAACCAGCATATGGCCCATCTGATGGTAAATGGCTATCATAATACATATAATGGTCTATAGATGCTTGAAACACCAGCTTATTGAAATATATATTTCCATGAGGGCTTGTAAGACAGTCAAAAGTGATGTATAAAAAAGAGGTATAAGAATAATTTAAAGAATGGTAATCAAGGTGCTAGCAACATACGTATATTAGTGTTTTTTATTGCAGTCTAGGATCAATACTAATTAGTTGTTTTGTTAATATATTTTTCTACTGCTCTCTACATTTTGAGAAAGTATTTGATATCTACTTGGGGGTTCTAACCTACAGTTACTAAACTGTAATTGAACGTTTCGCGTTAATTTTTCTTTTTTCTATTTGTATTCATAACCTTGTGCTCCTGTGTAACACACCAGGCACCAGGACAAATATATATATATTATCAAATTTTTTTATTATAATTAGATAAAAGAAAAGATTGCTACGGAGATCAAGTCGTGTATTTTTTCAAATATCTTTCAAATATAATCATTTATGTATAAATATATAAATAAATATAGAATAAACAAAATTAGTGGATCAAATTAATTGTATAATACGAGTTGAGGAAAAATATTTATTAATTATTTTAGGTATTCACAAGAATTACTAATACAAATTGAAATTAATATATTATAGTTGAACAACTTGATTGTCACATTCGCGTCCCATCAAGCGGGGAGAACGGACATCAAAATAGGCTATGCCTTTTTGTCCGTTTGTCCTCGGACATCCTCAAAACCTTTTATAAAGAGGTCAGGATATAAAGTTGATTATAAGAATCAACCATCATTACAGTGAAAGTGTATTCAGGTCCCATCATGAAAATGTTCTCCGTGATTGTTTTGTTTCGGTGTTTTGTGTTGTGCGTGTCACATGCAAATCTACGCGACAACCCTGGTAAGTTCATAGTCACTTGATACATTATAATGGTCAATGAATCATTTATTCATATAGCACATATAGTTGTTTACAGAAGTCAACATATTTTATTACAATCCCTACTGTCTAGTTCGAATAATTATTATTATTTTATCTACATTGTATGGTATCGATCCGGCTCGAAGGACCATACGCACATACGAGCCGGATCGATATTTTCTGGATTGATATTGAGCATCACAGTAAACTCTATATGTATTATTGAATAATAACTGCGCCTGCGACTTTGTACGCGTGGTATTTAGAATAATAATAATATATACATAATTTATACAGCGCCATCTAGTCCCAAGCTATGCAGAGCTTGTGTTATGGGTACTAGATAACTGATATAAATACATAGATACTTTTTTTTGTAAACGTATACATAATATACATAGAAAACACCCAGAATACAAACGAATACAAACAATCATACTCATGAATGTAAATGTTTGTCCCGTACGAGGAATCGAACCTGCGACCTTCGGAAGTAAACCAGTGTGTTAAACCGCTAGACCACCAAGGAGAATAGCATTAGGTTATAAGTTTATTTGTGAATCGATAGCAATTGAAACTTATTAACCACTAAATATAAAACCGCATAACTGTGAGCAAAGTGGTTACGTCGTTACCGAGATTAACGCGTACAAACTTATAGACAAAATTATTATAACCCATGTTATTTGTGGTTGATTTTATTATATATAATAATTTTATGTTATCATTATATTATTCTATTTGTCGCGGGTTCTATTCTCGTAATATACGGACATTTATGGGTATAGTGAGTAGGATTCTTTATATTTGTCTAAATGTTTATAATATATATATATATTTATTACGTATTGCTATTCGTTATTTAGTATCTATAGTAAACGCTATACCAAACTAAAAAAGTTCGGTCCCAGTGGTGCTGTATGAATTGATCTAGCTAGATTATTATTATTATTAAAGGTTTATAAAAACACTATCATTGCAGATAGAGTTAACCAAGGTATAATTGCTTTGCAATTCAATTTTTTTTATTATTATCATGAACGAACTGCCTCTAACATATCTAATTACATTAGTATTACTATATTTGAATTAAAAACGGTTTTAATTTAAGTTTATTTGAATAAAGAATAGTTCATTTTATTCTATTCTACACAGGTACATAACACAATATAAATAAAATGTGTTATATTTTCAAATGAATTCTCACCGTGCAATTTTGCTGCTATATTTCATGTAACTACAACACAGCTTATAGAGTACATAGCTAATGGCAGAATATACAGATACATGCAGATACTCAGATAACTTTGGATTAACTAGACCACTGACTACGTCGAAAAGACCCGTTCTTTCGGATAATCAATCTGAATTTTTTTAACAGTGCTCAAATGTGGTGTGGAAGCAAGCTCCAGCCTGATCCACCATAACCCATGGCTTGTATACCTTCAGTATTACCGGAGGGACCATGTGGCTGACATCAGATGTGCTGGCACACTGATTGATAGCAGACATATCGTTACAGCGGCGCATTGTGTCAAGAAAATTAAATACCAACGGTAATTTATCCATAATTCCATTAATAATATGTTTTTTCTTTTTAATATTACTCGATTGACAGACAAGCTGGCATACTTCTATTTTATTTTAGATTCTTTTGTTATTTCATCAACTATACATAGATTTATAGTTAGTTTTTATAGTTAGTATAATAGTTTATACTATTTAGTATTTATACAAATCGTGACTTAAACACGTAAAGTTTGTTTGAAGGGAACAGGTAAGTTTCTGCTCATTCTTTTTGACTAATATGCATTCCAAATGAGCTTTAGGTGAAAATATCTTGTATTTTTTATAGTTATATAGATAAGTAACAATATAAGAAAATACTCGGAAAACGGGGATTGAAGTTAATTGTCGAGAAATGAAGTACAAAACAAAATTGTACAAAAACAGAACAATAAGCTTAAATACAAATTTAGAATAAAGATATTTTAGATTAATCAGTTATGTTATAACTAACATAACTGACTAATCTAAAATAAAACATGAGAATTCAAATGCTACAATATTAAATTTATTTCATTTCAAGTAAAAATAATTTATATCTATTATATCTATTATATAAAGGAAGCTTGTGATGTCCGTGTAACTCAATCTAAATCAACCAAACACGTGTATGTAATTTATCATAAAAAATTTTAGATTATTCTTGACATTAGTTCTGTTTAAACAAAATTGTATCAGGTATATTAAAATACGAGTCAGTAGATATAGTGTTATTTTGAAATAAAAACAAACTCAAAACTACTATGTATATTTATTCACGTAGCTTTTTCTGTTTCAAGTTTAGGAACAATTCCTTTAGTAGATGGGCAAATGGGAGCAGACTATTCCATATTCTCATTATAATATATAAAATATTATACGATTTTAAAATTTTAGACTAGTCTTTATATTATATTTAAGGACTCCTCTTTTTTTCGTTTGCCTTTATGCCAGGCGACAAATAGGACATAAGGTCATTTGTTTATTTTTTTTAGTTTAATTAACAATACCATGAAAATCAGCATTAATGTTACTAAGTGAAATAGCAGTCATCAGTCAATTGACTGACTATTTTTTATTGTATTTTAAACAAATCATTACATTACAGTCTGGCGGCCCGTCTCGGCGAGTATGACGTCTCATCCGATTTGGATTGTCTTCAGGGTATCTGCTCCGAGACTGTGGACATAGAGATTTCAGATGTATTCATACATCCAGGGTACGATTCGCACAGACATGACATAGCTGTGCTTAGGCTTGCTAAAGAAGCACCATATACAGGTAACTTTGTTTATTTGATAATTTGGTTGTATCTATAAATGCTCACTTCAGTTTCATTTTTATGAATTAAACATATAAACGATTCCGGTGGTCTAGCAGTTTAGTACTACTTTATTTCCGGCACGTTGGTCGCGGAATCCACTCCTTGCACGATGCTAATATATTGACCCGCGAGTTAGGAAATGATGCTGGTAATAAATTTTCTCTGGGCCCAAAAACTTCTAAAATTAAAAATATATTTATTATTTGACGCCTAGTTAACGTTAGCTGCAACTCCGAGGTTGGTTTAGGAGCACCATCTTTGCAAAAATGTAAAGGAATAAAACTGTCACATCATCCCGGTTCAAATTGATATCAAATCATAGAGTTAAAGTTAGATCAGTGGAATAAGATGACATAGACCTTAAATAATGGGGTAAAGGCAAGACAATGATGATGGGAACGAGCCCAACAAAGTGTTTTTTTGGTGTCGCCTATATTTGAATTTTTATACACGATTTTTTATGGTCTAAAACGGATTAACGTACAAATAGATAACGAATCGATGTTTTATAATAGTTATTAAAAATTCACTAATTCATTCAGAATTTAAGAGCCACTGGAGCTCTTGTCACTTTTCACGATCTTCCATCATGATCTTTAAATGTTAATACGACACGACTCCCATTTTGTCTTTAATCAGCTTGATGTAGCTGTGCCTTGGTCTTCCCTTCCCTTTCCTCCTCTTTCCTTCTATTTTTCCCTCCATAATAGTTTTCATAAATTTATCGTGCCGTATCAAGAGTTCTAACATTTTCCACCATCTATTTTCTATAGTATTCAATAACTGTTTTTTCTTTCACCCTGTGAACTATTAAAAATTAGGTACAACAATTACTTGTGCGACCGTACTCTGTGCCGGTTTTCCGACCGGTGTTTTATATGTCTGTAAATACCGTTTTCCAGTGACGAATATGAGTATACGTGTTTTGTTTTACGAATTAAATTGTTTATATTCATATTAAATACCTTGCTTGAGTAATACCAATTCCCAGCTTGTTGTTTTCTATGTAAATTACTTGATGAGTAATTAGCTTTCTAGGTCAATTGAAGTGTTATTAATGACAATATTAAATTTTGTAAGGATTCTTCTTTACGTAATGTTTGGTATATATTTTGATTAAGAATTGATTCAGAGCGTCTTGAGTAGAATTTGCGTCTGGCTGATAGTAATTTTGTATTGCTATTTGTCTTTCCGTGTAACTCTAGATAGAAGATTTGTATCTCAATTTACATTTCTATTTATCTTTTTAAATAATTAATCGAAGTGTTTGTTTTCGAACTATTCTAAGGCTGTTGGCCGTAGCTGGCCTTTACAGCTTCGGACGAAAATGGTGGCTATAGGAGATTGCACTCAAAACCTGAAGGACTTATGGGGAATCTTCAAGCCGTAGTACTTTCATAATCACGTAGTTTGTTTTGCTTACAAAACAAGCTACGTGATTATGAAAGTGTGCTTCACTTATAGGATACGATAAAGCAATGAAATGGCAGTGTGACATGTATGACATCTTAGTCTTCTGAAATTTTTCATCAATTTACTTATACGGTTAGTTAGGATGAACAACGGCCTCTCTGGGACTCTAGAGTCCAATTTACATTACATTGCATTAGGGTTAGTTACATAAAATAAATATTTTTTCAGATTTCATCCGCCCAGTTTGCCTACCCACTGGGGCAGTCAGACAAGACGTTACTTTCTACGCAGCTGGATGGGGCGTCAAACCTTCGACGTACCTTTACAGTAACCTGAAGAAAATCATACCCTTACCCTATTGCCCTACATCACAGTGCCAAAAAGCGTATTCTAACTTGAATTTAACTGATGATATCATTTGCGCTGGTGGTGAAGAGGGAATCGACACTTGTAAGGGAGATTCTGGTGGACCACTCATGTGGATCAAGGAGAGAACAGAACTGTGGGGCGTGACTAGTTCAGGGAACGTCATCTGTGGTACTAAAGGAGCGCCCGCTATTTACACTAGTGTGCCAGAACATTTGGACTGGATCAAAACAGTGATAGAAGACTTATAAAATGCCTTATTATTGTGTAGCGTATCATAAAGTTTGAGTATCTCTTCGTCAGAGTTAGTGCGGTCATACAGCAATGCAATGCCGTCAATAACAGTCATTATCGCACTGATTCATGTTTTTTAGTTAATTTGTAAAATTTTATGCGGCAATTGTTTTTATTTTTTTAATTTTATATTAAAGGAATAATTCGATTTATTTTTGATATATATAGTATAATGGGTTCTGAATATGCAGCTAATTAGAGTTTGAAATAATATTACCACAAATGACAATAATGTAATATTACATAGCTTTACACAGCATAATTAAATTTTTTTTTCATTAAATTTATTATATAAAAATGTAAATTTGTTTGTTTGTACTCTATACTTTTGTTAAAGTTTAGTACGTAATATCGCTAAAGTAGGCACTTTCTACAGTAGGCATAATATGATAACATAGTTGTATTATATATGTAGGTACATAGGATTAGTCATAAGGGCTCATTCATAAAATACATATATCATACAAGCAAGTATTTGTCAACTAAGCAATCTAAACCGATTTATATATGATGTTAGAAATATTAACAATATTTTTGTTAATAGTTTAAATTTTATGTTATAATTCTAAAATGTGACGTCGTGAATGTTATGACCATCTCTCTTGTCACACTTCATCACACTTCGTCACACTTTATCGAACTCCCCTTTTCTCAATGTGTGACGTATTTATATCCCCTAAAGGGTATACCAATTAAAATGACAACGATTAGTATACATGAAATAGAAACACTAAGCATAGTAATATAGATATTAATGTAATGTACATTAAAAGCTATGTCCAGAGACTAACGCCTCCTGTTTTATAATATGTAGAGACTTACGACCAGCCGCGGCTTCTTATGGGTATTTCTTGACAGTTTTAATTATTTAATATAAATTCATGAATTAAAATGTCAACACATAGACATCAAGCAAATTTTATACATCAAAATTGTCGCCCTATTTTTATTTTAATGTTTGAAATCTTGCAAATGTGATAAGCGCGAAAGTTTATGGGTATCGATGAATGGATTAATAGATGTTTGTTACTATTTCACATAAAACCTACTAAACCGATTTTGATGAAACTTTACAGTAATATAGCTTATACATCAGAAAAACACATAGGATACAATTTAAAAAGATATTATATAAATTATGCGAAATAAATGTCAAATAAGAGTAATGCAGACAATGTTGCGTGGGTCAGCTAGTTCGTTATGAATATGTTATTTATTACTGTAGATACATCGTCCACATTCTGTAATTATCACGGGTCCAATCCCATTCATACATACATAGAAACGATTCATTTCGATGACGTATAATGATGCGTAATTTACAAATGGTTACTATAAATAATATTGTAATTCGTAATAATGATATGCATTCATATTTTTATATTATTTTATATAAATTATATAGTTACCAGTATTAGACTTCTTAGAATATTGAGAAAGACATTCGACCATGTAATAAAGTTATTTAATACTTAAAGTTTATTGATTGAGGACATAAGATGCGTTTAGCTAAGTTCGTACAGATTTTTGAAAAGTTAGATAGGATTTCGAATAAAGCATATGATGGAACATTTTTATGAATACTATGAATGAAAATATTATAAAGTCTTTGACCCCACACAAAATTAACCTTAATTAAGTTTTCCGAAATAAAAGTTATTCTATTTATAAATACGCTATCAGCGGGTCTGCAGCTTAACCACGCGTTGCTGTAGCTAAGGTTCTTGAATAAAATTGCAACTTTATTTGAATATAGCGATAGGATATCTTAAATTGAGATGTAAGTTATCCTATCTTTCAAGTTATATCAAATTCCACACAATGAGCAAATCAAATTTGCAATAGATTCAGTAGATTACGAGTCCATTGCGGATAAACAAGGTGACACGTAATTTTTATATATAAAGGTTAAGACGATGTCTTAAAACACTATCTCATTATATTCATATAATATGCAACAATTATTGTCACTATTTAAAAATGGCAATATGTCTGACCTATGTATGACAATATGTGTTCATATTGATGCTAAAGTACTTGTATCCAAGGTGATGAATGATTAAAATTCGGACTACTTTTAATTTTTAATCTACTAACTAATATTCAATATTTTTCCGATACATTCTTGGTTAGTAAAACATGCCATTTAATATTATTAAATTTTTCGTCTAAACTCATCTCATTATACAAAAGTGTACCGAGTCGTGGGAAAAGCAAAATTCCGCAACAAAACATGTTGCCAGCATTGAAAAATACTACATAATATTGGGGGAAATAGAATGTAAAAATCTTTTCTCCTACCTCAAAGCACTTCATTCATCATCACCATCATCATCTCAGCCCGGAAGACGTCCACTGCTGAACAAAGGCCTCCTCCAGCGATCGTGACCAGATCGTCGTAGTCCAACAGCACTCAAAAGAAGAAGAAAAGAAGACTCACTTATAGAAGCTAGTTAAATTATAATATATATCTATATATGCTCTCAGTTCATTAGTACATCTGTGTCCAGGTCTAAGAGCACTGGGTCCTTAACAGTGCCATGATATCTGTGTATATTATATCTAATATACAAAATTCTCATGTCGGTTTATGTATACTCCTCCGAAACTGCTTGATCGATTTTAATGAAATTTTATATGTATATTCAGTAGGTGTGAGAATAGGGTTATAACTAATTTTTATACCTCTAAGTGTTAAGGGTGGCTCATCCAAAATAAATTAATTTTTCATTTTATCGACTGTGTGTTTTATTTTTATTTTTTTATTACGTGGCATTAAAAAATACATAGAGCCTTCAATTGTTACCCTTTTACCACCAACTCCTATTTATAATAGCTATTATAATTCATATTGCTAAACAACTTTTTCGGGGTCAGCTACTGTTATATGTATGTTAATATACTGTTAACTCATACAAGTAGAGTTAATTATTTGTATTTTCCTTCAAGTGACACATAGTGATTGGTCTATAGTGGTTTTTACTAATTGTACAAGGAAATATAAACCGAAAGAAAACTTGTATGATACAGTATACATATACAATGTAACGTCTTTGCCTTAATACACAGTATTGGGGTCAAACAAATCTTTTTTTTTTATTGGGGGTATGGGCTATTCTCCGGTGCTTGGACCTGTAACACTGTACTACATAGATTTTGCTCGCCCTTTTTCAGAGTTACTAAACCTATCAGGGACAAAAATTGAAGGATATTCTTAGGAGCGACGGTTTTTATCACCTTAGGATAGAGTGTAAACTTTCCAAAGGAGATATTACGTTTATATCTAGATATATATAACTCAAAGGTGACTGACATAGTGATCTATCAACGCACAGCCCAAATCACTGGACGGATCGGGCTGAAATTTGGCATGCAGCTAGATGTAATGACGTAGGCATCCCCTAAGAAAAGATTTTGATAAATTCCACCCCTAAGGGGATAAAATAGGGGATGAAATTTTGTATGAAACTTTGTCAATTTTAAACCGATCTGACTGAGACTTTGGATGCATAAAGCTACTATGACGTAGGCACCCCTTAAGAAAGGATTTTGATAAATTCCACCCCTAAGGGGATAAATTAACGCGAGCGAAGTTGTGGGCAAAAGCTAGTGTTTGTGTATTTACTGATCCCTAACATTATTTGTTAATACTCATGCTTAGTATTAACGTCTCCATACAGCTATAACGTTCTCGTACTGCGTCTGTCGTCTGTCGCGGCATACAATATTGTGCAACTGTGGTGTAACACGCTTACGCGGGAAAATTAAAAAGACTACAAACATGGCTTCCTCTACAGATAAAATACGAGTCTTCTTGTGCTCCCAATTAATTGTTTTATATAAATTATACCTTTGTATTTCTGCAATTTATTGCTAATACATTAAACTGCTTATATACAACTAACCCGAATATAAAAAAAACTCTTAATAACATACCTAATGTATGAATTGATTAACTTCCATCAATGAGCTTTTTTAATGACTGATGTGTCCAAGGACTTTATTTTTAATTTTTATATTTTATTTTTAGTTATAAGAGAAACTACGGTCGCTGAAGGTAAAGACATATATATTTCAAATTGATAATAAAAAAGGAACAATAGAAAAATGTTAAATTTTAAATATAGGTATATAATAAAGGTCTAAGAAGGTGCGTCCAGCACATGTACTGTATAACTATAACTATATCACTGTAACGTAATTACTTTGATTTATTATAATTGGATAATGAGAAAATTCGATCTAGTAATGCTATTTATTAGTACTATTAGATAGACTTTAAAAAAGATTTGATCAAAATTGAAATTGCGGAAAATAGATTGATGTGGGAGAATACGAGGAGAAGAGATGTTAGGGGTAACTTGTTTCCTAGTGTTAAGGTAGTGGAGCATTGTTATCAAGCTGTAAAAATATATAATAATTTGTCTGTAGATTTAAAAGACATTACAAGTTTTTCACTATCCAAAAATAAATTAATATTATGATTACTCAAAGACAAATATTATATAGTTCAGACCAATATTTTATAATAATTGTATTTATATTCAAACACAATTCTATTATTGTTTTATGAATAAATGACTATGACTGTTGGTGAAGATTATTAATTGGCATAGTACAATTAAATATAATTATACATATACATAGCTACATTATTTTTACAAAAACAACGTATCTATGTATTTATAGCAGTTGTCTAGTACCCATAATACAAGTTCAGTTTGGGCCTAAATAACGCTGTGTGAATTGTCCTGAGAGATTACTATTATAATTATTTAAAGAAGAATTCGCGACAAAAATTTGGCTCCACTTTCTCAGGCACACTGATGTACTCGTTCAATAAAAATAAGACTATATTTTGTTAAATTTCTGGTGAATTTACCATGATTGGTCAAACGGGCTAATTTCATCTTTATCTTAACATTCTTCTTTGGCGTATCACCAGCATAGACTACTGCAGTATCATACATCAAAACTACTTTCTAACAAGTAACCAAATCAAATTGAAAACCTTCTAAAAACTAATCGAAATCTTAATAATCTTTTCACTTTTTTGAAACATTATTTATTACTAATAATGTTAGAATTTAGGATACCAACAGAATTGAAAAGATAAAACGAAACTCTTATAATAGAAAAATATGTAATACAAATAAATACTTCCAGAAACGGCCGAACCGATACATTATTGAAACCTTTAAGAACAGAGCTTATTCCTTTTTAAAAGGCCAGCAACGCACTTGCAATTCCCCTGGTGTTGCGGGTTGTCAGGGACGGCGGTAATCTTACCATCTAGTAGCCACAATCCCTTTCGTCCCCCCTATGCTATAAAAAATATTCGTCTGTCCGTATGTCAAAGTTAAAATCAGGTTTATATCTTATGTACGTATATCTTTTATCACTACCTTTGTATGTTATATTTCACTAACTACTACTTTTAAATAATTTAAGTTTGGAACTGTTTCAAATAAAGTTCGCTAAATCGTATTTGGAAGGAAATATTTAAAAATAATATATTCTTCCTTCTTCTTCTTCATTTTAAATGGCCGCCACCAATTTTGATCGGTGATTTTGCCAATGTCATGGTTTGAGAGACACAGTGTAGTTTGTAGCTGTGGCTTATTTTAGTTTGCTCGGTAGAATATATTCTTTATTAAAGACTCTCGCTTAATAATGGATGGTAGAGAAAAAAATTGACGTTCATAAGCGGCTAAAATGTCCTATATGAATAAATGACTTTTTTCTAATTTTAAATTTGAATTTGATTGTGGATAAAATATAACATTTCATAACTGATGCCGCTTACTACTACTACTATTTATGAAGAAAAATATAGACAAAAGCTGATGATATTACCCTTGATATAGCCAAAAAATCTAAACCGATAGAATAGAATAGAATAGAAAATCATTTATTCAAATAAACTTAATTTAAGCACTTTTGAATAGTCATAACAATTTGTTTTTTATCTCATTACAAGAAGAACGAGCAAGAAACTTGTGTGTTGCTCTTTTAAATAATCCTTGTAAGTTTACATTTACAAGTCGAAACGTGTGAATACAAACTACCAACAAGCACTAATTTTTTGGGTCAAATATAAATATGCAATAAGATTAAATCAGTCGTAGTGATAAGAGCAGACCAGTTCCTACAAGCAGCACTCGTTCACGAGTATAACGGATGAGCCAGCCATCACTGCGCTCGACCATATTTTAGGGAGCCCATTGACCCGGCCCACCACGCCGCCACATGTCTGGACATTTTAGTGAGCATGACTACTCATTCCACACGACCACGTCACAGCTACAAAAATTACTATATGGTAGTTACAGTATTCGCACTTTACATAAGGATGCATGCGGCAATCAATACAAAAGCCGCTACGCTATCATACATCAAGAAAGCTGGACTGTGAAGAATATATAGATATATTTCACAGTCTATGAGATATCATTAAAAACTCGTCACAAACATACTTTATGTATGTTTTTATCTAATCCAAGGAAGTCCTAAGCAGCTATTTATAGTAAATACCTGTGTATGTAACTTAAATAAATATTATAAGAATAAATATATATATATAATAAATATAATAAGCATACATTATTTTATTCAGTACTAGCAGTGCCTGCGGTTACCAGCTTTTAATTTCAATAGAAAATATAGCGTATATGTTATTCTGATGCCTAAGCTATATTATTGTAAAGTTTCATTAAAATCCATTCCGTGGTTTTTGCGTGAAAGAGTAACAAACATCCATAGTTACAAACTTTCGCGTTTATCATATTATTAAGATTAAGATGAATTTACTATAAATATTACATTGTTTGTTCAGAACCCTCAGCATGTAATTACGATTCTCACTTTACCGTTTTTATATATGTTATTCAAACTAATCTCAACTTGAATTCGATACAAAAAGCCGAAGGATCTCCTAGAATGTAGTAGCAAACGCTAACGAAACCGGTTTGTTAATATCATTCTCAGACATTTCGACAATATTATGTACACATTAGGTTTGATCTCGTTAGCTGATTGTCCTGTTCTTTGCCTCTGAACGAGAATATTTTTTTAAAAAAAAAATGTTTTTTATTTAATATACAAATAATTAGAACATTATTTTAAATGTTCTGTCTTAAATTTTAAGATGTGCAATATTGTGTTATTATTTGTGTTTATTTTAGCATTTGTGCAAGGATGTAAGTATTTTAAGTATAATGTTCTATAATGCTCGTGTTATTAACTGGGAGAATTTCACAATCTACGTAGACCATAAAAATGGCTGAGTGTGTACTTTAGTTTCATCTATTCCAACCACCAAGCAGCTTACTTTGTGACCCATAATTGGAATGTATGGTGCAGATTAGGATGTAAAATTACAGGAAAAGAGACATTTTAATCCTTAACGCATGAGTGGTATCGCAGGTGTCACTTCATATTGTGATGACTAAATTCATTTATGTATGGTTGAAATGGTAGGTATGGTTACCGCTTACCATGAGGTGGGCCGTCAGTTTGTTTGTCATTCCAATAGCATAAAACATCTTTTTTGGAAAACATTAATTCGTTATCGTAGGGGAACTAATTTGACACGATTAAATAAAATAAAAAATCATTTCTTCTTATAGCATATTTTAGTGGCTTATGAAAGTCATTGTGTTATTCAAATTAACACACAAATTTGTGTAAATCTGCGTATGAGGAAAAATTGTTCAGAAAGCATTTGAGTTTAATTGAATAAAGATTATTTCTATTTCTATTAATATTTCTTCTTTACTGTGACCATTCTTAATCTATAACCTTCTAGTGATATTCTAGGGTATACAGAACAAATACTTTAAATTCCATATTCATCCATAAAAATAATTAATTGACATCGTAAAGTATCTCTTCTTAAGGCAATAGAAATAGTACAAATCTTTTTAGGACATATATTTAAAACAAAAATTTGTGTATAGTATAATGAAATAGATAATAACTTATATTTTATTAAACTAGTAGTTATATTGTGAAGTCTATTTCAGTACTAAATAATAATAATAATAATATTAATCTCACGACAATGCACACATCTAGACCCAAGTTAAGCTAGCTAAAGCTTGTGTTATAGGTACTGGACAACTGATACTAATACATAGATAATTTTTTTTTCGTAAATACATACATATTATACATATAAAATACCCAGACCGATACAAAGAATCATACTCATTAATACAAATGTTTGTGCCGTGCGAGGAATCGAACCCGCGAGCAGCGGACGTAAAGCAGCGTGCTAAACAGCTAAACTACCGAGGTCATCTTAATGGATTTGTATTATTTTGTTTAATACAGCGTGTGTGAGACTGAGGCGCGAGAATCGTAGTTTGCTCACCGAACATTCAACACTAGGCTTCCAAACCATAGTATCCGAATTCTATTCAACGCCTGATGATATGCAATCTATTCAATACTGCCTCGCAATATGGGGTGTAGACTCAATAACGGAATCGAAACTTGATCACCAATCGAGAAGGTCGCAACGCTTCTAGTAGCGGTGATCAGTTTTCCGCACTGAAATTTTGTGGTCTCACACATGCTAATCGTAGCGGAATTATACAAACTAATATAAATGCCTTAAATAAGAATATCATTTAAATATTCTCCCAGATACAAAACATATACAAAATGAAGACAATCTAAAAGATTCACCACATTTAGTCAAGTACTAGTGTACCGCACTAGCATTTTAGCCAAGCGAGATGACAGTGGACATTGAATGTGATTTGTTTAAATTCTAATGGTTTTGTATTACATTTCATAGACTATTCGACGAACCCACTAAACAACAGAGCTATTTGTGAAAACAAAGCATATCCGCCAGACATTAAAAATGGATGTTGTGGTATTGACGGTTCGTTCGGAAACAAAATTGTGGGTAAGTGTATTAATTTATTAGAAATTAGCTGTGCCCGGGGTTTTACTCGCATGAAAGTTATAGGCCATGTGTTATTCTGACGTATAAGCTACATTATGGTAAAGTTTCATCAAAATCCGTTCAGTAGTTTTTGCGTGAAAGAGTAACAAACATCCCATATAATGCTTGGTGCAATAAAGTGTTTATAATTAAAAAATAAAACAATATTAACATACTCACAATATTAACATTACCCGCGACTTCGTCATGGAATTTAACTTTTTTTTGTTAAAATATATATAAATCGCTAATGTAAAGTAGCCTAAGTTACTCTTTATAACATTGGGGCTATCTACGAGTGAAAGTCCCTCAAAATAGATCCAGATCAAAACAAATCCCTTTCCGAGGTTAGTTACAATTTTATAATTATTATTTTTTTATGCGAGTAACGTATTTACTACCATACGTAGGTATTTAGTTTACAAACAGACGCTTCAATTTTATCTATTTGTGTAGATGGTATGAATAAATATTTCAGCGATATTGAGTTAGCACAATACATAGTACTGTTTCTAATGAGTTAGCTGAGTGGAGACCCTTTCAGATCATAGCGAAATATTAGCTTTTAAATTTTCTTATTTTTACTCTGTACTATGATGCTGAATAAATTATTATTATTGTTAATGTTTGCTTTGGTCAGATGCTCTTCAATAAATTTTGTGTTTTAAATATTAGAAAAATTTAAAAAAACTCGCTTTTCCCGTGACTTCGACTTCGTGTGTGGAATTTAACTTTTTTAAAATAAAAGTAGCCTAAGTTACTCCTCATTACATTAGCTACCTGCCAAAAAAAGTCCCGTCAAAATAGGTCCAGCCATTTCAGAAATTAGCAGAACCTACAGACAGACACCAAAATATATTTTATTTTTAATTTTTAAAAATAAAATATATTTTGGTGTATGTACCGTATTTACATTCATATGCATGTAATAAAATATTGTTATTTCAATATTACAAACAGAGGCTCCAATTTTATTTATATGTACAGACGTCGATTTTGCTTATGGATTTGGACTCAACAGTTTATTTATTGTTAAATATTTTTCTAATTTTGACAGGAGGCAGTAACACAGCAATCGACCAGTACCCATGGGCAGCTCTTATAGAATACGTACCTTTGAATACCACATTGATAAAACAGAATCTATTACTGTGCGGTGGAAGTCTGATCAGCTCCAAGTATGTACTTACAGCAGCGCATTGCTTCTTCATGAGCGAAGGTCTAGTGAAACCGTAAGTAAATTTTGTATTGGGATCTTCTTATAGTTATACTAGCTGTCCTGGCAAACGTTGTTTTGCCATATAAATTAATAACGCTATAAAAAAATAGGGGTTGATGATAGAAGGGTGAAAATTTAGGATTGTATGTATTTTTGTATGTTGTATCATAAAAAAATAGAAACTAGAAATATTGTCTAAAATATAAAAAAAAAATTTAGGGTCAGACCTACTCAATACGCTCACAAAATTTCATGAGAATCGGTCAAGCCGTTTCGGAGGAGTATGGAAACGAAAACTGTGACACGAGAATTTTATATATAAGATTAAGAAGAAAAGTATCCACTTTTAATACACATATATATATGAGTATATATTATTATCGTATTGACTACTGATAGTCTTGGTGATCTAGCAGTTAGTATACCGTCTTACTAACGCTAGTCGCGGGTTCGATGCCTAGCACGATGGTGATATATGTATTCATGACTATGATTTTTTGTATTGGTCTGGGTAATTCCTACGTATATATTTTTTTTTAATGGATGATAATGGAATGGTGCTCCCACCCCGCACCAGTAATTCATCACGATGGTTTCCAGGGAGAACCGCGTGGAGGTCAACCTGACATGGGACATTGCTAGCAATGAGATCATCAGTCCACATTACTAACAATCCTCTTTACCCTTTTCCTACATATATTATGCATTTACAAAAACAATACATTTTATATATTTATGTCAATTGTATTGTACCCATAACACAAGCTCTGCGTAGTTTGAAACTAGATGATGCTTTATGAATTGTCCTGAGATATTATTATTATAACTTTTTTGTAAACAGATTAGAATAAAACAAATACTTCTAAGTGAAGCTTAATAAATAAATAAATAAGTAAAAACTAAAGCATCACCTAAACCCAAATAGGTTAAGCTATTATTAAGATTACCGTCAACAGATAAACAAATAGATGGAGAATGATAGGATGACTAGGAAGGTAGGTCAGCATCGTGGTGAATCTACTAAAAATTGACCACGATGGTTTCCAGGTGAATCCGTGTTGAGATCGACCTGAGATGGTACATTGCTAGCAATAGAAAATCACTTATTCAAATAAACTTAAATTAAGCACTTTTAAATAGTCATAGTTACCATTATTTTAATCTACCGCTCATTCGGATAGCTGTCTCATCACAAGAAGAACGAGCAAAAACTTGCGTGTTGCTCTTTTAAATAATTATTGTAACTTTACATTTCAAATTCGAAACGTGCGAATACAAGCCATTAACTAGCACTAATTTCTTAGGGTCAGATATTAAATACCAGCAGACCAGACCAGTCCCTACAAGCAGCACTCGTTCATCAGTATGACGTATGAGCTAGCCATCACTGCGCTCGACCATATTTTAGGGAACCCAATGTCCCGGCCCACCACCCCCTCCGATCGATCCCCCGTCCAATTCAAACGGGGATCGAAATTACGACGGCCTGAGCCGAGGTTCGAACCCCTAGTGGTGCCCTCAGACTAAAGTCGTATCCGTCGGGCAGGAGTTGGCCTTCAGCCGCTCCATAAGTCCTTCCGCGGGTTTGGAGTGCCATCTGCACTCGCCCCATAACGTCCGGTGAAGCTGTAAAGGCCAGCTACGGCCAACAGCATTAGAGTAGTCCGAAAAAAAATAAAAAAAAAACCGGCCCACCACGCCGCCACATGTCTGGACATTTTAGTGAGCATGACTACTTATTCCACTCGACCACGTCATAGCTACTTAAAATTACTATAATATGGTAGTTACAGTATTCGCACTTTAAATATGCGGCAATCAATTTACAAATATGTTTTGTAAATACAATATTTACAAAAACAGTGTATGTATGTATTTATACCAATTGTCTAGTACGCATAACACAAACTTTGCGTAGTTTGAGACTAGATGACGCTTTGTGAATTATCCTGGGTTTTTTTCATCATTTTTCTTTGTAAACCGACTGGAATAAAATAATAGAATAATTTATTCTTCCTCTTCTTCATCCTCGCATCTTACCGTTACGCAGAGGATTATCTAACATTGAGGCGCCATGCATATCGCTGGTAATCATCGTCATTTGACAAGCCCAACTTAATTTGTTTTTCAGGGAATATGTACGTCTGGGCGAGTACAATACAACAAATAATGGTAAAGACTGCGTAGAGGTGGAGGGGGGAGGGATAGACTGTACGGATCCCGTTGTTATTATAGAAATAAAACGATATATTCATCACCCGCAATACATGTTCTATGAATCTAAAAACGATATTGCTTTAATACAATTGAAGAAATCAGCACCGTATACAGGTTAGTCATATTTCAACTGTCGTTTTGTACGTATTATTAATACATTCTTGCTTGTAAAGTGGATCTAATTACCAATTTTTTAAATATAATGCAAATAGTGAAGTTATATTCCACTAGCTTTCGTCTGCATCACACTTAAAATTATATATCGACGACTTCGGTGGTCTAGCGGTCAAGCACACCGCTTTGCGACCGATGGTCGCGGGTTCGATTCCTCGCACGGCACAAACAATTGTATTCATGAGTATATATATTTTCATTTAAATGTATATTTTCAGACTTCATCAGACCAATTTGTTTGCCAACACATGACATCTTCAAGTCCCCACCGGCGCGGTTGAAGCTCAGAGCAGTCGGTTGGGGCGTGATCAATGATAAATATGATATAAGTGAAATTAAACAACATATTATACTGCCTTTTGTACGTGTGAAGGTAATAAATATATGTTATTAATTAATAATAATAAATATCTTGGATAATTCACACAGCGACACATAGTCCCAAGCTATGCAGAATTTGTGTTATGGGTACTAGACAACTGATAGAATACTTCAATATATATATTTTTATAAATATATATTTAATATATATAGAAAACAATAACACATATTTATGAAAAATATATACAAATTTAGCTTGGGTCTAGATAGCGTTGTGTGAATTGTCCTGAGATATTAATAATTAATATATTAATTTACAACAGGAATGTCAACGTAGATATATAGGAAGTAAACATAGCCCTATAACGGATGATCAGATATGCGCAGGTGGGGAGAAAAATAGAGACACCTGCACTCTGGATTCAGGTGGACCCCTCATGTTTGAAAGCGAGGCTTCTTATGTGCTGGTTGGTATCACCAGCTTTGGTCCTGTACCATGTGGTCTGGAAGACACGCCTGGAGTCTACGTTAATGTTTACAACTACTTACCTTGGATCCTTAACATTACGGGCTCCTAAAAATATTGTTGGGCCATTTAGATCATATGGTCCTAGATTCAAGCCCTGCAGAAGAACCATGTTTGTACTTGTGCATTTTGTTTTCCATGTATATTACTTATATTTTACAAAGTCACAATGAGAGTATCGCATTATTTAATGACTGACTTACTCTCCGGTGATGGAAACATCGATTCCCGATTGTCACATTAGAATTTAATACATCTAGTAATATGTATGTAATACTTGACGTATTGCATTTGCCATCGTTGAAAATAGACAGGGAAAGTGCTATGAGCTTCACCGATAAGAGCGTGGCATTTAAATTATGAATAAATGAATGAATTATTATTTTTAAACTAAATGTTAATATAAATATGTGAATTTAGTCCTATATTTAACCTACTTTTCCTTCATGTTTCACTCGTATTTCCCTAAAAGTATGTCCTCGATCATTGGACGTAATTAAAAATTCTGATTGCTTTTTGTTAACCTGGAATTATGGTATAATATATTGTAAATAGTTTACTGACTTTGAGTAAATACGTTTCAATATTCAACAATCACAACAAAACCAATAACTACATATTTAGAAATATGGGAAATCATTATGACAGAGCTAATGTTTACAAACAAACGTACAATTTCCCCATAGTTTTGTGTGGTTGTAAATAACAAGAAATGTTTTAGAACACCTTAAGTATTTGTTTGTTGTTTATTTCAATATAACATAAATACTTGAAGTACATTAAATAACAACTATAATTTGTTATATATATATAAGTAATATATAATTAATATTAAATTTAGTCGATAACTATGAATAAGTAATATAAGCACGATGTAATTTATACTTTTTAAGATTAATCTAAATTAAATTCATTTAAATTGTACTTGTATTCACAAAAATCTTAAATATATACCGCTGCATAAATATTATTTAGAAGTGCAACATTCTTGCTGGTTCCTTTTGTGATGATGCATGAGTTAAACGGTAGAACGATTACGAAACCAACAGTTCCTTACGTAGTTTCATCATATTTTATTATACTCGAAATTAAATTAAATTCATAATATAAAGCAGTTTATCAATGAATGCTGGAACAAGTCACTTTATTGAATTTCACGCGCCTAAGTTCATCTTTACTGACCGCCACTATTATCAAGGAATGTAAATACCATTATCTGCTAGAGAATTATTCTTGTTGTGACCGTTAATAATATAAATAACTATCTAACCCGCGCGATTTCGTCTGCATCAAGTGTGATCATTGTATATTGCTCCATTTACATAATATCTTATTATTATCTATCTTATCTGTGTTATTCTGATATATAAGCTACTAGCTACCCACCCCGGCTTTACACGGGTGTACATGTATTATATATAAAAACTATCCTCTTGAATCACTTTATCTATTAAAAAAACGGCTTCAAAATCCGTTACGTAGTTTTAAAGATTCTGTCTTCTGTCTGTCCCTATGTATGCTTAACACATGGGGACAGACAGACAACGACAGCGACTTTGTTTATATTATGTAATGATGTTACTATAAAGTTTCATCAAAATCCGTACAGTAATTTTTGCGTGAAAGAGGAAAAACATCCATCCATACTCACAAACTTTCGCATGCACATTAAACAGGAAAGTTTAAAAATAATTGAATATAGTCAAATTGAGAATATCTTTCTTTCTTTATATCTTTTTTTCTTCGTTCAAATATCTTGTAATAAAGTCTCACAGAATTTTATTTTTACTTAACTGACCCGTGCAATATTATCTGCATCACAATTAGGTACTTGGCAGTTATCATTATATTTCATATAATTTACATATCTTTTTAAATTATAGCCTATGTGTTATTCTGATGTATAATATTACTGTTAAGTTTCATGATAAACCGTTCAAGTTTTTGCGTGAAAATGTAACAAGCATGTATCAACCATACTCACAAAAATATTAGTATCTGAAATTTATTTTTCGTCGTTAATCATGTATGATGTTACTTCTATAAAATGCGTATTTCCGAGACACGTGGCGAAGGGATTAATAAGTGTATTAATGCGGTAGTTCGTTGAACGTGTGAGTCAGTTGCAATAATTTATTTTGTAACTTCAGTACCATAATATTATTATAATAATATATGTAACATCCTTACATTAGTAAGTTGTTGTAAAGCTGGAATCGTAGAGACCATTCATACTAATATTATATATAACAAAGTAATTATGTTTTTTTTATTGGGTTGTTTGGGCTATTTTTAGATGTTTGTAGCACCTGTAGCACTGCGACCTACATAGATCTATTGTGCTCGCCCTTTTTCAAAGTTCGCTACCTAGACCCGTCAGGGACAAGAATTGAAGGATATTCTTAGGAGCGATGGTTTTTATCTCCTCGGGAAAGAGTGTAAACTTTCCAAAGGAGATATATCGTTTATGCATGAGTGGGCTACAACCACATAGGACGTGAAGCGACGTTTCCTCTTCAGTTTGGCAGAATCTGCAGATTCTTGTCGTGCATAGGCCAAGTTAAGCCATATGCTTGTTTCATTTGCAGTGTTCTATGAGAGCCCTAGTCATCATGCATATGTTGTTTTTACTCAATAGCAGTAGTCTATTGGAGTATTTGTTCGAGAAGCACTGAATCACTGGAAAGGCCAAGAAATGCCAGGATTAACACATGTTAATCCTGGCATTTCTTGCCAGTGATTCAGTGCTTCTCGTTCGGTTATTTTAGGTTAGAAACTGTATCCTGCTACTAAATGAAGTAGGAAGCAGAAATAACATTATACTGAGATGGGCATTCAAATATTGAAGGCAATGAAAATGCCGACCATCTGGCTAAGTTAGGGGCAAAAACCGTCCAACTGGGCCCCGAATCCTTCTGTGGTGTGCCTCGTTACCTAAAACTGGGACATCTCAAATGAATAAGTAATTGTGTTGATCTGTCACGCTTTCATGCGAAAACTACTGTACTGCTTTAAATGAAGTTTTAGTACACAGATAGTCTAGACCCTGAGAAAGGACGTAGGTTACTTTTTAATGCGGAAAAAGGATAGAAGCGGAGATGAAAGTTGTATGTAAGAATTGTCATTTGTAAAGCTAGAAGTTTGAAACTTATTTTTTAGGCTTTTGAAGTAAATATTACAATAAAAGTTTGTATATTCTCCTATCATCATCATCATCATCGCAGCCCGGAAGACGTCTACTGCTGGGCATAGGCCTCCCCTAAAGATCTCCACGACGATCAGTCCTGCGCTGCTCGCATCCAATGCCTTCCAGCGATTTTCACCAGATCGTCGGTCCACCTTGCTGGAGGCCTTCCCACGCTGTGTCTTCCGGTCCTATAACAAGTATTTAATTCTGGTTACAAGGAGATTTCAGCCCCGGCTTAAGAAAAATATATAAATAAGAATAGAATAACCCTATTGATATGTAATACTACGTAAAACATATATATATGTTAATGAAGTAAATAATTATTATTTTACCCTTAAGGTGGTAAAATAAAAACTCAACAGTTTTTTTAATAGCCGTTTTTTATATTTTGTACCTTTATAGGTGTCTATGTCTAACATTAAGTGAAACTCCCGCGCATGAACAACCATTGCCATGCACATTTGTCATTCCAGTAATCATTTAGTGTGTAATAGGCGCTATGTAGCTACCATAGTCAACTATATGATGGAATATTCTACATTTAAAACAAAATGTATTAAAAGTGTGACTCAAGTTTTCCTGTTAAGTAATGTTTTTCCTGTGAATAATGAAATTTTAGAATACATGAAATGTTATTTCTATAACTCCTATCAGTTCTAGTGAATTTACCGCAATGGGAAATAAAACCACTAAATTGCGATTCAAACTCTCATGGAGCGGGTTCCATATATATGGGATGAATCTGATGAACAGATAATAAATAAATAATCCCGGAAAATTAACACAACGCCATCTAGTCCCATGCTAAGCAGAGCTTGTGTTATGGGTACTAAACAACTGATATAAATACTTAGATTTTCTTTGTAAATACATACGTAATATACCTACATAGAAAACACCCAGACCGGTACAAACATTCATACTCATGAATACAAATATTTGCACCATGCAAAAAATCGAACCCGCGACCATCGGAAGTAAAGCGATGTGCTAAACCGCTAGACCATCGAGACCGTCATTATTATCATTATAATTGAAGTAATTGTATAAAAAAGTATACTAAACTTGAAATTGATAGCATTAGAAGTTTTTGAAACATAGCACTATGACATACAGACTGATGGTACTACAATTTACGGGTTTGGGTTGGAACCCTAAGAAACTCTTTAAAACCCAAAGGATTCGCCTCTCGCACTAATGGAATTACTATAATTACTCACATAGTTACATGGTATTGCATAGTTATTTTGGTTTCTACGTTTCCCTATTTGGTATTATGTCAACTTACTTAACGTTATAGTTCAGGGAATAAAGACAAAAATAAGATCGAACTTAGGACCGGAAAAATTAGGGGAAACCTGGATTTTTGCATGAACCTTCCTTTTGGTGTTCTAAACCAAATCCCAAAGTTTTGATCCGTGTACCGCTAAAAATGTTATACGAGGTCAAAGTCACAAAAAACAGTTTTTCGCGAATATTTCTTTAACGATCACAGTTATTGAAAAAAGTTAACAACGATTTTTTTAATAAATTAAAAGATTTATTAAAAAAATAATAATAAAGAAATGGATATTATTAATAATTCTATAATTTAATATTCAACAACATATATCATTAAAATTCACACAGCACCCATGAATACAAATGTTTGTACCGAGCGAGGATCTTCATCATTATTACATAGTATAAAACAAAGTCGCTGTCGCTGTCTGTCCCTATGTATGCTTAACGGATACGGATACGGATTAAAACTACGCAACGGATTTTGATGCGGTTTTTTAATAGATAGAGTGATTCTTGAGGAAGGTTTATATGTATAATACATGTACACCCGGGCGAAGCCGGTGACAGTAGCTAGTAATGGATAATAATGGAAGGCACCCGCTAGCGCAAATGGTTTACGGAGGCGGAGCACCAGTGGAGGATGACAAGATGAACATGAGATCAGGTCAGTTAGCCCATCGTGACAAATTTCATAGGAATTTATCACGATGGTTTCCAGGAGGGACCGCGTGGAGGTCGACTTAATATGGTACATTACTATACACTACTTCTGGGGATTACAAGTTTCCATTACTAACATACCCCTACCTCCTCGCGACCATGAAGGAGATATTGAGTGGATTACATATATAGCAGTAAATATAATTTACTTTCGTTCCGATCGCAGTTGCACGTTACATACAAACTGTTACTTAGCAACAATACTTATTTTAAATGTGATGGATTATACTTTTTCTACTTAAATCAATGTGCCTAATACGATCCCTTAATCCATTACATTTAAGACACTGAAGACACTCTACATCTCTACATTTAAAATATAATCACAGATCACAGTTGCACGTTACATACAAACTGTTACTTAGCAACAATACTTATTTTAAATGTGATAGATTATACTTTTTTTACTTAAATCAATGTGCCTAATACGATCCTTTAATCCATTACATTTAAGACACATAAGACACTCTACATCTCTACATTTAAAATATAATCACAGATCACAGTTGCACGTTACATACAAACTGTTACTTAGCAACAATACTTATTTTAAATGTGATGGATTATACTTTTTTTACTTAAATCAATGTGCCTAATACGATCCTTTAATCCATTACATTTAAGACACATAAGACACTGTACATCTCTACATTTAAAACATAATCACAGATCACAGTTGCACGTTACATACAAACTGTTACTTAGCAACAATACTTATTTTAAATGTGATGGATTATACTTTTTCTACTTAAATCAATGTGCCTAATACGATCCCTTAATCCATTACATTTAAGACACTGAAGACACTCTACATCTCTACATTTAAAATATAATCACAGATCACAGTTGCACGTTACATACAAACTATTACTTAGCAACAATACTTGTTTTAAATGTGATGGATTATACTTTTTCTACTTAAATCAATGTGCCTAATAGACCATCGTTAATAAAGTGATGAGTCAGTAATAATAAAGTTAATATTGACCGAAGTCGATTTGCTACAAATAATCTGCGAGGTCACACTGCCTCACCTATATTACCCGACAGCAGGTTGCTTTATATGCTCTTAGGTTTTTTAATACAGCGTCGTTGCCAGTTCTCGTAGCATCGTATCGTATCTCAGACCTCGTAAACGTTTCAATATATTGTTCAATTATGAACTCCATATTAAATTATAGAATTATTATTAATACCAGCAACATTATATTATTTCATTTGAGATTTTTTATATATTTTAATGTATTGCAATAAACTATTATAATTATTCTATCTATTAGGTACTAACCATATTATTTATAATTAAAATTGTTACCTTGTATACTAATTTATATAATTAAATATTAATATATATTCTTTTTTTTTAATTTGACGGAAATTTAAATCATATTTACTGAGCAAGGCCTATTACTCACTAAACGATTACTTGAATGACGAGCGTGCATGGCAATAGTTTTCATGTACGGGATTTTCATTTAATGTTACACATAGACACATATAAATACTGCATTGTAAATAAACTTGCTTTTTTAAAAAAAGTAATTCAATTGAGTTTCTTGCTAGTTCTTCTCAATTGGATCTATATACCGAACTGGACGGTAGGGAAAAAAATTATAATGTAAAAACTTGACGTTCATAAGCGGCTAAAATGTCCTACACGAATAAATGATTTTTGAATTTGAATTTGAATTGCTAACAATGTAACATATTCAGTTGACATCAACGCGGTTCAAAACTTGCCACGATAGGCGAAAGGACCTGACCTCATGCTCGTCTTATCATCTTTCACTGGTGCCGCGTCAGAGAATACCGTTGGCGCTGGTGGGTGCACCATTCCATTATCATCCATGAAAAGACCCAAATGACATAATTTTTATAAGCCGTTACGGTGAAATAATTTATTACTAGAAATTATTATAATTCTAATGAAACACATTGGAATACACATTCCTTTATCATCCATGATAAAAAATATCGCAAGTGAAATAAAGAGTCTATATATATCTAATCAGTGTTTTGTTTTCTGAACAATGTTCCACGCTGATCTTCGACCTTTTTGTATTGTTATGGATCACACATAATGACACAAACCTGTAAACCTTATGTCATACTGCATACATACATGTATTGTTTATATTTATGAACAGGTAATTCTGTGCGATCAGTAATAGTCAAATAAACGATATATTTTAGTCGTTAATTCTTTACCTCTAGTTTAAAAATTCTTATTTTTATTTTTAATCAAAGTAGAAGACAATCGTACTAATATTATAATCGCGTAAGTTTGTGAGTATGGATTGATGTTTATTACTCTTTCAAGCAAAAGCTGCTGAACGGATTTTGATGAAAGTTTACAGTAATATAGCTTATGCATCAGAATAACATAGGCTATATTTTATATTGAAATTTAACGCGGATGAAACCGCAGGCACAGCTAGTGTACTATAAATCACATTTATTAGACAGATATTTAATGGTATGTGTGGTTTATTTATCTTTATTTTTATGCATTGGCAACACATCGTCTGTTTTATGGCAATTCTTAATGGAAATCCAATTATATTAAAAATAGAGTATTTCAGAAGGCGTCGATGTGCTCTTGCGCATGCAATTTAGTTACGCTGCGTGGTAACACTGTTGCCTATTTACAATTCGTCAATGAAAGTGACAGCACAATTCGAGACTGATACATTTCTTGCCTGCCATTGTAAATATACCTCTTATGTATATATTTTTTTTGTTTCTTGCAAGACAAGCAATTAAAGTTTTTAAATTTATTTAAATTAATTTACACAGAAGTATTGTATATCATTTTAAAAGTATTTAGATAATGATTAAGACGGCGTGGTTAATTTAATTGACTTATATAAAAGGAGGCAATTCTAGCTTCTAATTTTGAAAAATGATATTTTTCTATTTAATCGACGATATATTTACCAAATGAAATACCATCCATCAATGGCGATCTTCCACGGTGCGTTTTTTTAGAAACTTTTTGCCATGCACAAATACATTGTGGAATCACAGGCAGCAATGGTCTTTATGAAAGAATACGATATTGAACACTTAAAAACAAAGCCTATTTCTTCTTAAAAGCTCGGCAATGCACTTGCCCCTGGTATTCATTTGGGTGCTCATTGGTGGTAATCACTTACTATCAGGTGAGTCACAAGCTCGTTTGTCCTCTATGCTATAAAATGGAAAACTTGTGAATATATCTACAATATACATATATAAATAGTTAGATCGGTCTCTTCTTTACTAGTTCCGTTTCCTGTCGCTGCTACTTCGGAACAACACCTATGTAAATAATGTCACAGACACTAAACGCGCAAAATAAAAGTAAAGTATTGAATAATAAACTATATGTAAATAGTGCAAAGAAACAATTTCCTTTGAACACTAGATGGTTGATGATTAATTTAGGTATTTTACATCGGCGCGCGAGCATCATGTCTACGTCATACATACGGTCTAGTGTCACCATTTAATTAATATATCAGAGTGGGATAAGAACATAAGTACAATATTTATTTTCTAATGGATAATGATGGAATAGTGCTCTATCAAAATATTTTAAACTACAAACGATTACAATAGATTAAAAATCCCTATTAATGAATTATCTGAAATGTATTTAGTAACACGGTAAAATTGAGATATTTTTTATCATGGATGGAGATATTCATTGGATATACAGCAGTAAAAATAATATAATCTGGATTTTCATCACTATTGCAGTTGGACATTACTGTTAATCAGCTACAAGAACACTCATTTTAAATGTAATTGATTATACTTTTTATTCCAAAAGTAATGTGCCTAATGCTGCCAAATATGGTTTCTTAAAAAGACAACGATATCGATGCTTATTTCCGAACGTAGAGTTGATAAACTGTCGACATACTGACATTGGGATTGCCCCGTCCGAGACGAAACACACCCATACCAACCATCATATTAGATGCACAATATATTGTGGAAATAACAGCGTCGAACAGTTTATATACATCAAAGCGAATAGGCATGTAGTAGCATATGTTCCGCGGACTTCAAACTTATCGCACGTGTATACTGAATAGTATGATTTCGTCTTTTATCGGAGTGTTTAACGAATTATTTATTCGGTTATTTATAATTGTGATTGAACGTTAGTTTAATTTTTATAAATGAAGTGTTTTATTGTTTTATGTGTGTGTGCATTAGTTGAAGGAGTACGATTGTCATATATTCATCGGAACGGTAAGTTTTTATATTTATATTATTTTCTATACATGGTATATTTTTTTAATTTGATATGTGTTTTGTGTTAATTTTAATAGGAAATACAATATTTCGTTTAAATATTTTAATATGTGATTTTGAACAGGTAGATTATATAATATAAAAGTTTTTTTTTATAAATTAAGTTTTTTATTTTCATCAGCGCACTGCAGTCCACTGATGGACATAGTTTTTTAAATAAAATCCCACCTTTTTGACTACTACTTGCATAAAATACATTTTGTAAAATCTGTAATCGCTTAATAGAGCTTTATCATTATGAAATAATGATAGAGCATTTTAAGTCGCAGTTGCGCAAGAGTATTTTAAGTTGCATTTTGACTTGTCTAGTTACTCCATATAATTTTTTTACGTAATTAGGTACATGTTTTAACAAGTACAGATACGTACCATATCATCGTACTTACAAAAAGTCTTTTCGAGTCAGTGAAACGATTTCTTAAGCCGAAGCAAGTTCTGGTGTTTATTTATTAGTGTTTAGTCTAGAGTGTGCGCTTTACTTCTGATGGTGGTGGGCTCGATTCCTCGCACAGTGCAAACATTTGTATTCATGAATATTATTGTTTGTATCGTTCTGGGTATATCTATTTATATTATGTATGTATTTACAAAAAAATCTAAGTCTTTATATCAGTTGTCTAGTACTCATAACAAAAGCTCTGCTTACCGTGGGACTAGATGGAGCTGTGTTAATTGTCCAGGGTTATTCATTTTGTTAAGTTTGTTTTAAATAGTCACACCCACTCCTGCGTTGTTGATGTGATAACGAAATGATATTACTACTTACATTATCTACATGTAGGATTGCATTTTATTTTTTAAATAATAAATATATAAACTGGTTTCGATAGGAAAAAATTAAGTATTAGGAAAAACAAAAATATTTTCATTTTTTTGCATTTAAAACGAATTTTTGTGTGCTTTTGATACTAGAGCTGTGACAAATGTTACAACTCGCAATTGACATCTAACATTTCGCTCAGTAATTATAAATCGTTAAGTACCCATTATGAGTACTTTGTTTTACGCATCGCAGTAAAGGTTGAAAACAAAGTATTTTGTATACTTTATGTAAAAGTATAGTATAATTACCAAAAATATAGTAGGATACGTTATTATAAAGTATGGTTGGGAACCCCTACCTATATGTTATATTATTAGGCACATTGATTGTGGAATAAAAAGTATAATGCATCACACTTAAAATTATTGTACTTGTTGCTAAGTAACAGTTATGTGTTACTTCCAACTGTGATGAAATCGAAAGTAAATTATATTTACTGCTGTATATCCACAGAATTTATAGTTAGTAATTAGTGGGTCAACTTATTTAATTTTGAATGATTATTCTATTTGTTTTTTCTTTTTCTGGCTTGGCACGTGCCAAGCCAGAAAAAGAAAAATGCATGGTGTGCAAAAAATGGTGCATTTGCCAGAACAATATTAAGGAAACTTGTTTACCAATTAAATATATTTAGGATATAGAATTTGGTATAGGATTAAAAGGGTGCATTGGTAGTAAAAGGAAAAAATAAAAAATCTATATAAATAAGCTGACATATTCTGATATGACCATTTTTTTTGCTAATTGTTTTAATCACTGTGACATTGACATTTATACCTGTCAATTTAGGTGACAGGTGTAAGTGTGTAATTTTCAAATATGTTACCACCCATAGCAGGGTAGTGCTGTACCTGCGATACCGATTTGTTTAATCGTAACTTTTTATTTTAGTACATTTGTTTGAAAGCTTTACATGAAGTTCCACAACATATTTTCCATATTTACGTACGTATTGTATTTGTATTACTACATTGTATTATACAATACAAAAATACTTATTTTTTATATCCTATTATATGCCTTAATCTGCGGTTGTTCTAACTTATTGTCACAAATGAAAAAAAAGGCTGTTGATTAAAAATATAAATAAATATGGCATTCAAAATTTGTGAAAATCTCACTCTTAAGGGCGTATAGAAATTCGTGCTTTTTTAGTTACTTTAAAATTAAATATTTTATATCATCCAAGGTCACTTTTCCACGCGGACACAGTCGGGCGGCGCGCTAGTATTATATAATAACTAACAACTTATTGCACCTACTATATTCTATCGAATAAATAAATTATTATTATTATTTACCATCATCTGAGCTGTACGCTTGATTGGTGTAAAGAATAATTTATCGATTTTTTATTGTTATATGATATCGATTGTTTTCAGTGTTCTCACATACCTAGGTATCTCATAGACGGTAGAGGCGAGAGCCAAATCTTCATTACACTCCGCGCTGCTCACACGTGTACTCATTAGAATATGCTTTCGTCGCGACTGTTATTGTGAAATTAATTTTATTTGTGTGGTTTTTATACTTTTGAATGCACTTTTTATTTTTCACAAATGAAGTTAATTGTTGTGTTATGTGTTACTGGATTATTTAGTGGATACCATTTGTCTTCTATACTTCGACACGGTTAGTTTTTTTTTTTAATGGTGAGGTTTGGGCTTTTAATAGTTTTTTTTTAGTGGATGATAATGGAATGATGCACTCGCCTCCGCGGTTTACGGCATCAGTGGGGGATGATATGATAAACATGAAGTCAGGTCAGTTAGCCCATCATGATAAATTCACCGGGTATTTATCACAATGGTTTCCAGGGGGAACCGCGTGGAGGTCAACCTGACATGGTACATTGTTAGCAATGGGATCATTAGTCCACATTACTAACAATACCCTTCCCTTACTATTGTTAGGTTTTTTTTTTTCATGGATGATAATGGTATGGTGCACCCGCCTGCGCTAACGGTTTACGCTGGCGGGGCACCAGTGGAGGATGATAAGATGAACATGAGGTCAGGTTAGTTAGCCCATCGTGACATATTTAGCAGGAATTTATCACGATGGTTTCCAGGGGGAACCGCGTGGAGGTCAACCTGACATGGTACATTGTTAGTAACGGGGTCATGAGTCCACATTACTAACAATCCCTTTCCCCCTACTATTGTTAGGTTCTATAAGACCTGTAACACTGCGACCTGTATAGATCTATTGTACTCACCCTTATTCAAAGTTCGCTACCTAGACCCGTGAGGGACAAGAATTGAAGGATATTTTTAGGAGCGATGGTTTTTATCTCCTCAGGATAGAGTGTATACTTTCCAAAGGAGATATTTCGCTTATGAGTGGGCTACAACCACTTAAGATGTGTAGTGGCGTTCCCTCTTCTGCTTGGCAAAATCTGCAAATTGATTTGCAGATTTTGCCATATTTATTATTTATACGTACAATTAAAATTCACGTAATCTTACCACAAAATTATATAATACACTTACATATTTATTATAAAAGATATCAACTTTATATAATTGTGTTATGTTACTAAACAACAGATATAAATATATCTGTTATTTAGTATCCATAACACAAGCTCTACTTACCGTGGGACTTGGTAGCGCTGTTTTAATTGTCCAGGGCTATTTATTATTATTATAGGTATAGGTTATTTATTTATAACGTTAAACCCTCGGTGACCATGGATCAACAAACAATGACTATTATAAAAGGAATGATGATGATGGCTAAGATTATTATTATTATTATTATTATATTATCTAAAGGAAACAGAAAAGTAATCTAAGTAGTAAGTAAATTATTAAATAAATCTAAGTAGTAAGAAAGCTTATATATATAGCAATTTACTGATCATATTTACAAGATACAAGTATTTTTTTTCTAAAGTAAAATCGAGTTTATTGGCTGCAGCAGTCAACGACAAATACCGAAGCGGATAACTTTGTAGAACTAATCACTGGTGAGAAAATTGTATAAGGAAACATTACTTATATGAATATTCATCTTATATCTGTGTAATTCCAATTTACCTATATTAGTCATCAGATTCACATAGTATACAATTATATTATTAACTAGCTGTTACTGAATTTAACGTTTTTTAATTGAAATATATAATGTTTATAAAATAAAAATAATCTCAGTTACTCCTTATTAGCTATCTGCGAGTGAAAGTACCTTCAAAATCGGTCCAGCCATTCCACCGTATATACTTTCATATATATGAAATTACAAAGATACTTAAATTTTGTTTCGTTGTCTATACTAAAACTTACCATGTATTTTCATACATGATGATCAGTATCACTATATCACGTTATATGATGTCCGTAGTATCACCTATTCCTCGGTGTCTTGTAATTTTTCTACTTTATGATCACTCTTCATCACTCTTACAAAGAAAGTCGACATAGCTAGGTCGAAATGTGAAATAATTGGAACTACTCATTCAGATGTAAATAATATATCTAGGTTGAATAAATAACCATCGTCATCGTCATGTGCTTCCTTATCGCATTCGTCCTTGTTCAAAGTCATCTCGTTATTTACTCTCTTTCTTAATATAATATCACCTTTGATACAGTCCATCTCTTTTTCGGTCCTCCTCAGCTCTTATAACCATCCACATTCACATGTAACACCTTCCTTAAGATATGATCATCATTCCTGCGTACGTAAAAAATGTTTTCGTTACTGTCATAATTACGACATTCGTACCTACTTCTGAATACGCCTCAGATGCGTCACTTTAGGATGCTGCTATGACCGGATTGAGACGATAAAATCAAGGCTGGGTTTAGTTAGGGAAAATTGTGAAATGTCATCGACTTTAAACAAAATAATATCAAATTCAAATTCAAATTCAAATTCAAAAATCATTTATGCATGTAGGACATTTTAGCCGCTTATGAACGTCAAATTTTTACATTATAATTTTTTTTTTCTCTACTGTCCAGTTCTGTATATAGATCCAATTGAGAAGAACTGGCAAGAAACTCAATTGAATTACTTTTTTTTTTAAAGTCAGTTTATTTACAATTTATTTTTATATAGGTGTCTATGTCTAACATTAAATGAAAATTCAGTACATGAGCAACTATTG